TGAGTTCAATCCTTGGTACTTAAAAAAAAAAAAAAAAAAAAGACAACCGTGAATGTAACAAATCTACTTTTCTGGGGCCAGGGAGATAGCTCAGTACAATAAGTGCTTGCCTGGCAAGCACAAGGTGCTGAGTTCAGTCCCCAATACCACACACACCAAAAAAAAAAAAAAAAGTTCTCATATAGTTTTGGGGCTGGGGAGATGGCTCAGTAGAATAAGCACTTTTCTGGCAAGTGCAAGGGAGTGAGTTCAATCTCCAGTTCTGAAAAAAAAAAATCCATTTTTCTGAAAAATAACACCTTATAAGTAAATATTCAGCAAATACAATTTTAAAAGAAACATAAAAGGCAAGAAATGTGAGAATAATAGCAACAGAAATCAGGTGCCCCCCTCATATATAATCTTTGCTTGCACCTCTCCAAACAAAAGTAAGAGATTCAGGTCATACTCAAAAAAAAAGGAGCTTTGTAAAATCTCCCCTTTCCTCTTTTCCCTAACTCTCCTGGAGCATTCCACACCTCACACTTCCCAGTCACCCTATGTCTTCCCCAAAATCTTCACCTCTTATATCTTTTCTAGTCTTTCTCCTTCTTTTTGCATCATGTACAATAAATAATTTAGTTTCTGACTTCTTCTTTGGGATGGAGGGGAGGTGCCAGGAATCAAACTCAGGACCTCATGCTTGCCAGGCAGGCACTGCACCACTGAGCAAAACTCCTGGCCCCTCTGACTTATTTGTTTCATGTTCACTTCTCTCATTATTTCATTTCTCTATCACAAATGATATCCTGGTAACTGATCCAATAAGCCAAAATTTCAACCATTCTTCAGCTTTGCAAGCTCTACCTGCTCCATCCTGTCTTTCAATACTTGATGTCAGAAGCTGGTGACTATATTTTTTAAAAACTCAAAATGGATTAAAGATTTAAACATCAGGTCTGAAATTATAAAACTACTAGAAGGAAACACTTCAAGACACTGAAGTTAGCAAAGATTGGGGGGGAGGTAAGACCCCAAAAGCACAAACAACAAAAGTTAAAAAAAGAATTATATTTCACTAAAAAGCTTCTATACAGCAAAAGAATCAATAAAATGAAATAACAGCCTAGATAAGGGAATAAAATATTTGCAAACTACTCATTTGACAAGGAATTAGCACCATGAATATACAAGAAACTCAACTCCACAACCAAAACAAATCAATACATTGAATTAAAAAGGCATAACCAACCTATATAGACATTGCTCAAAAAAAGGCATAAATAAACAAGCTTTACATGAATAAAACACCTAAAATTGCTAATCATTAAGAAAATGTAAGTCAAATCTACGATGAGACCTTACCTTGCATCTGTTAGCATGGCTATTACCAAAAAAAAACAGCCCCAAAAGTGTTGGAAATAATGTGAAAAAGAAAGGGAACACTTGTGCATTGTTGGTGGGTATGTAAATTAGTAGTCATAGAATTATAGGAAACAGTATGAAAAGCTTTCAAACATTAAAAATAGAACCACTGTATCATCCAGTAATACCACTACTGGGTATAGTTCCAAAGGAAATGAAATCCGTATATCAAAAAGACATCTGCATTTCTGTATTATCTGCAACACTATTCACAAGAGACAAGAAATGGAATCAACCTATGTGCTCATTAACTGATGAATAAATAAAGAAAATATGGAACATATATGGAATGGAATACTATAAAGCCATAAGAAAGGCTGATACCCTGCCATATGAAACAACGGATTGGAACTGCAAGACATTGTATTACATGAAATAATCCAGATACAGAACAACAAATAGTGAACAATCTCTCATATATAACCTAAAAATTGATCTCATAGAAGATTATATCAGAATAATAGTTACCAGAGACTAGAGAGAAGGGATGGGGAAAGTCTGGCCAGTGGGTACTAAAGACAATGTACTATATATTTCAAAAGAGCTAACAAATGGATTTTGAATATTTTCATCACAAAAAAAGGATGAATGCTTGGAGAAGTAGATATGCTTCCTGAACATGAACACTTACAATGTATCTGTGTATCAAATCATCACACAACACTGCATAAATATGTATAAATTTTATGTGTCAATTCTTTTTAAGGTAAAAAAAAAATCTGGGTACCAGATTAAAGCATTAACATATAAATCAATCTACAAATCTTATCCCTCATCCTTACCCCATTACAAATATTTGAAAGAGTGAAAATCAACATTGAAAGAGTAATCTGAAGAAACAAAAAAAAGCTTATTCACAAAAATTTTAATTTTTGTGGTTTAATAACTGGAAACTTAATGTAAAATGTCACATCAACATAACACACAAGGGAATCACAGGATTCCAAAGAGTGCTATCTTAGCTACTTTCCTTATTCTTGAGACAAAATACCTAACACTCAAATTAAATGAGGAAAGGTTTATTTCACCTAACAATTTATAGAATTTTCAGTCCATAGTTGACTGGTTCCAAAGCAATGTGACAAAGCTGAGCAGATCACAGATGAGAAATAGCTTATGGTGGGCAGAAGGCAGCAAAAGCAGCAAACACCAATCAACAACAACAGCCCTCTTTCTGTCCCTTGTATTCTATCCAACCTCCCTGCCCTTAGTGAGGGTAGCACTCAAACTCAGTGTGGGGCACCCTTAACCCTAGAACTGCACCACAAATCAATCACAGCATCACATCTTTAATCTCAGCATGAAACACTCTAAATCCAGGCACCTTTGAAAAGCCCCATATAAAAACGAGGTATATAAAGTAAATCCATATTAATACAATGAGCTGTAAAAGGCTCAAGTTAATAACTTCTGAGGATAGCCCACTAATATTATAGACTGCTAGACAGTGTTAGATTGTTTAGTTGAATTCAAATATCTATAGTATTTAGATGCCAATCGAATATTCACCTCTGACAGGACAAAAAAAAAGATACAAAGGAAAGATCATTTTGTATTTATATATACAAAATAGGATAAATTTATAGCTACTTTTGCTTAATTCAATGAAAAGAAAGAGGTGTACTAACAGTGTTTGGACAGAATATCCTGTCTGTTTCTTGTACTATGGATAACCACTGAGAAGATAACAATGTACAATGTATTGATTATCAAAACTGCCCTATTAATCAGCTGTGAAACTGTCTCATTTATATTTATTTCTCAATAAAAAATAAAAAAGAACACAGATTTTAGCCACAATAAGGAAAACTGTAATAGAACTAAAAAAAAAAAAAAAAAAAAAGAAAGAAAAGAAAAGAAAGAAAAGCCCCATCTACAATGACCCCATGAGGTTTTGAGGAGTCCTTTAGATATAAACTATAACAGGTGCTAAAAGGCATTAAACTACAAATTGGATATTGTTACGATAACAATTTTGAATAACAAAAATGTATTTGGTATCTCTAAGAAACAGACAGAGATTCAGATTAGAACAGAGGGGGCCTGCCAAACAGCTCAGTGGATTAAAGTGCCTGATTAGGCAGACACAGGGGCTGGTAGTTCAATCCCTGGGCCTGCCTTGCCAGCCCTGCCCCAGGGTGCACTGAGATGGCTACTGAGACTGGGTGTAGTGGTGCACGCCTGTAATCCCTGTGCTTGGGAGGCTGAACACAGGCAGATCACTATGAGTTCAATCTATGTAGTGAGACCCTGTAGACCCTGCAGACCCTTACTAAAATACAAATAAATAAATAAATGAAGAACAAACAGAAAATCTATTAGTTTTCTAGATTTAGTGATAGAAAATCAGAATTATCTTCATGTATTCTATCCTGTCTTGCTTAAATTTGGCCTTGAAATTTGGCCTTATGACTGATTCTGGAAAGTGGTCATGAATGGAACTAACATGACATATAAATTATTAACCATTTTTTGTTTCATCAGTTATAAATATAACTGAATGTTAATTGCAATCCTTTGTGAACTATTACTTTTTCAATAAAACTTGGAAGGTTTTCACACTCCCAAATATGTATTTGCTATAACTAATTTAGAAATGTGCACAATATAACAAAATTTAAATTATATTCTATATCTATCTAGAGAGGTTCACTAATTAACATTTTAGGATACTTTCAGCATGAATTTGGGAATGTAAGCACATTTGATGCTTAATAAGGATAAAAGTTTGCTTTATTATAACAACCACTTCTATGTACCCTCCTCAAAAGGAAATTAGTTGCTACTAGAGTTTTAACAGATTCCCCAAGCAAGAGATTAAATATCTGTCTCAATTCTTCAGGGAAATCAGATATCCCTGCCACTGACAGCAGAACAAAAACTTCCTACTAGCTATTCAAAACAATCAAACCTGAACTGGCAAGATAGCTCAACAGTCTAAGGCAAGCTTAGGCAGGCTCAGGGGACAACAGTTTGATCTCCACCTCCACCTCCACCCCCACCC